TTATTGAAACTAGTTCTTTTCTATTTTACATTTTTAATGCAAAATTTTTAACATATAGAAAAGTTGAAAAAATTGCATACTGAATACCCATATATCCGCCTCCCTTCCTCTTAGATTCCTAGATTCAATTTTTTTTAACATTTTGCCATATATGTTCACCATCACTCTCTGTCTCTCACACTCACTAATTTAAAGTATAACATCCACACAGATATACAATTTTTTCTGTAACATTTGCAAGTAAATTGAGCTTCAGTACTAAATATTTCAGCAAGAATCTTCTTAGAATAAGAGCGTTCCATGTAAAACCAAGCTTGTTTATCATGCCCAAGAAACTTACAAATAATATAATGATATTACTTCATATCAAGTACATATTCAAATTCCTCCAGTAGTTCAAAAATACTTTTTTAGGCTTTGTGGCATTTTTGTTTTTGTTTTGCTTATGAACCAGAATCCAGTCAAGGGTCCGTCCATGTATTACATTGGGTTGTTATGTCATTTTAGACTCCTTTAGTCTACAGTAGCCTTCTCACCTCTTTTTCCTCTTTGTTCATATTGGCATTTGAAACACTTCAAGACAATAGCTTCAAAAAAATGTATCACCTTTTTGGATTTTTCTTTCCATTATCGTGTCATTTAACTTGCTTTCCACCTTCCAAATTTCTTCTAAACTGAAAGTTGGTTCTAGATGAGACTCAGTAAGACGCACGTCAAACATTTTGGCAATGATTCTTCACATAAGATGCTGAGCACTTTACATTGTATCACAGCAAGAGGTTCATACTCTAAACGCCACTGAATTTGATCACTTAGCGAAGTTGGTGATTGCTAGATGTTGCACTGTAAAGGTACATTTTTTTTTCTTTGAAATTAGTATGTCTTCTAATGGTTTACTATCCACTGATGACTCTTCCTAAATTAATTATGACATTGGAGTTTACAAAATGGTGGTGCGGAGCTTTCTTTTTTAAACACTTTCTTAGTGTTTAAAAAAAACTTTCTTTTTTGCTCCTTCTATTGGTATCTATGAACTAATGGATTGTTTTTCTTTAGAAGGGTGTTTATTTTGTATGTCATAATAAATTATAGGTATTATTTTTTTGATGTTCAGTTTTCCCAAATTGGGCCAGAGGGAGCTCCTTCAATCTCCTGCTTTCCAGCACAAAATGCCCTAGGCTCACTTGA